ATAGTACGATTAAAGAGATTATTCATTGCAGCGATGTCAATGATAATAGTGATAATTGATAACGTTATATGAATAATAGGTACTTTTCGGATGTCCAGAGGCCTTCTAAAGAACTTAGTTTGGTGGCTGTGGTACGAATAAAAAAGAAGCCCTTGCAAATAGGCCACTAGGCATCCAGCGTGCCTCTATAGGAAGTCCTGACATAGGACTCTTAAAGGACACAATATGGATACTTCCCATTTACGGCCCGGGAACTCTGTGCTATTAGGGGGAGACCTTACTTTTGGGACAAGCCTCGTATATGAGTCTTATGTGGCTCGCCACATTATTATGTTAATAATGAATATGTTATTAATTAATGTCCATGTCAATTGCCATTTCGTGGGTACCACCACAGAACAATGGTTTCACGGATTAAAATATAATATTATATGAGTATAATAATATCTTAGTCTGTGTAGACGTGTAGTCCGTGGTCTGTGGGTACTTGCCTAGACGTACGATAATTATCGTATGTGTACGGTATTTATTATTCATGTACGATGTACGAAATTAAAATACGATAATTTTCAAATATTTATTTTTATTATAATATACTGTGGTATATTGTGGTAGAATTATAGTCCTAATGAAAACATAACCTATAAATTATCAACTTTTGAACAAAACCGAAAATAAATATGGTAAATTACCAAAATAGAAATATGACTATTATGTATTATGAAAATTTTAGGAATTAGTTTATACTGAATACCGAATACTAATGAACACTTAACAGTAAACACTAAACACCACGAGCGCGATCGCTAGGAGGTTATCTAGTAAAAATTAAAACATATTTTAATGGATGCATTTACCTATCATTATAAATTCTTGTTACTTACATTTGTAACCAACTTATTTCTTAATTGATTTTTGATCTTGAGTTTTAAACGATTTCCTTTCCTTTTCACTAGTGTTTGTACTTTCTATTATTTTTTTAAAATGGATCACAGTGGTTTCCACTATAAAATTAATAAAACTCGTGGTGGAAAACGGTAAGTAATTCAAGTATAACATTATTATATTTATTTTATTTATTTTTGTTTACTGTGTAAAGTATAACTTACTATTAAGAGAAAGTCGCATCCACATAACGTGTTGCCTTCGTCTTACCAAGGTACGTAAAGTAAATTTTCATACATCAGAATCCGCTTATGTTGTTAGATTTAGTACTACAGACAATTTACTTATGATGAAACTTAAATATGAGAACATTATCCACAGCGTCTCGTAGGGTTTTGTTAAAATTTTACTTTTACTAATTTTACTATTACTAGGTAGGTAGTTATTATTGCAAGCAAAATATTACAACTTTAAAATGATAATATGAACAATGTCCTATAAGATGCTATATAGATAATGGTCTCATCTTTACGTTTGATCATAAGTGAAATGACTGTAATACAAAATCTCATAACATAAAATGGATTCTGCTGTTCCTAAATTTGCAGAAATTTACTATGTTGTATGTTGGTAAGTCAAAGACAACTCATGCGGGAGCGACATCCTCTTAAGGTACATTTTTAGTATTTAAACGTTTTAGGGTAAACTTAATGCATTCAAGAATATACAATTTTATTAAGTAGGTATAAAAAATAATCATTTGTTGTCTAAATACCTATATCCATTACAGTTATTATGTATGTACTACACCTAATGTGTACTGCAAAGGAAGTGTGGTCCAACACGAAGATGGTACAATAGTAATGAACAAACCCCACCCTCACGAAGCATATGGCCAGGAATATAATTAACTGGTGTCGAAAAACATCTTTCGGAGAACATTAATTGAGAGAGCCAGATTAGAAATGATAGAATTAAAAATTATCTATGACCAAGAGGCAATAAGGTATGAATTTATTAATATGTAGGATTCTGGAATAATTGTATATTCTACAGTAGGTAGATATGTAAAAAAGGGTTCCATTCCATACTGGTCTTCATTTTAGGTAGTAGTCTCTTTTTAAAACAAAATTTAAGCACTTATTATATTTTATGACAATATTGTGTTAATATAATTTCTTCGCTATTTTCTTGTAATACTAAAAATATAAGTTAATAAACCAGATTAATTTATTATTATAGCAATTAACTATTTAGAATCTATAACAGTGATATAATCTTTAACACCATTACCAAAATGGTGCTTGCTTGTCCTTTAAATTGAATACATATATTTGTATTATATAATATATATATATACTTTGAGTATAAGTAGGTAACATTAGTTTTACCTATTTAAATGTTTGGTTCAATTTTATTACTGTTACTATTGAGTAATGTAAATAATAAACCAACAAGTAATAATATAGGGTTTAATTCAATTAACACACTTTTATATTGTCTCTGAGCTATTCTAATATTGAATCTTTATCATCTTTTTCAAGACCAAGTTCTTTTTTTTGTTTACTTTACAATAATTTTAATATGAATGATAACAAAAAACAATTTAGAGCTATTTTGGCAAAAAGAGCTAAATTCGAAACTGGTAATTTAAAGACAATATAATGTGCCGAGGAATCAATAGGGAAAGATTATAATCATCAATAATTACAATTAAGTAGACCTCATCAATATTTATAGTATAATTAAAAGTATAATTGAGTGACAAATTTTACAGGAATCCCCAAGTAGCTGCTAATTATCCTTGGCCAACAGCTGAGTCCTCAATGCGCCAAGCTCGTAGGAAAACCGTTCCTCCTTCACCAACTACTCTACGCGAATTAGGAGAGTTTTTAGATGTAAATAATGACCGGTAAGAATAATTAATTTGAGTTATTAAGAATAGTTAATTGATTAACTTAATATTATCTTGGATAAATGTAACCAATAGATACCAATGCAGTAATCAACCATTTTATAAAGAATGGATAGTAGACAATCATGGGAAATTCAGCATCATGTTTGCTTGTGATAATCTTATATCTTCAGTAGTTCATCAAGGCAGTACAGAGTTACATGCAGATGGAACTTTTAAAGTAGTACCTCTTACTCCACATAGTAGACAGCTGTTTATAATCCATCTAATTCTGCAAAATCACGTGAGACATAATAATTATAATTTAAAATAATTACTTTAACTAACAAAATATAAAATTGTTTTATCTTAGTCTATTCCTGTTTGTTTTGTGTTAATGGAAACCAAGAGTGAGGCATCATATAAAAAAGTATTAGAAAGATTTAGAGCGAAATACCCCAATGTAAGACCAACCTCAGTCATTATATTGACTTTGAAACTGGCCTTCGAAATGCATTTAATTTTATATACCCAGAAGCCACTGTGACATCATGTTGGTTTCATTATGTACAGGTTTGGAGTTAAAATTGATTTAAAATTAAAATAATATAATTGTAGGGGCTCGTTGATGTCAGGAATTGAAGTTGTTAGTTAGGTGACACAAAACACGAGACTCAATTAATATGAATAATTACTCGACACTTTAATAATTATACTTTGAAAAATAATAACAATAACTTTAATAACAACTTTAAAAAGACAATTGAGTGCCCGTGAGCGTGTGCAGTCCGGACACACTCCGGCAGACCCACACACGGCAACACACACCAAAAGACTAAAACTGCTAATACTAGACGTCGCTTCGGCGGTAGAGATGTGTCGTTCATGAACTAGTTAACGTTTAGATGAACGACTAGTTCATCGTTCATATCGTTCACATCATGAACGAACTTATACACTAACTGTGGACGATGAACGATTTCAAGTGTTTCAAGTTCGGATTATTAGTTCACTATTTTTTGTGTTTCATCTGTTTAAACTGTATTATGTAATTATTAGAGGTGGGTCGAACTCAAAAATATGGTCTCGAACCGAACTCGAACCGAACCTTGGTATGTCGAACCAAACTCGAACCGAACTTTTTAATCGTATATCGAACCGAACTCGAACCGAACCTTAGTATGTCGAACCGAACTCGAACCGAGCATTTTATTCAACATCAAACCACATCGGTACGATATATTTCATTACCAAACTGAACCCAAAATAAACTTTTTAATTAAATGGCAAATTAAAGCTTTATAGTTTTTACTTTATACTTTAAAGCCACATGCTCAGTGTTCGGAAATATCTAAATAGTAGATAATAAATATTTATCTTTTATTTTATGTAGATAATTTTCAGCTCGATTATATTTAACTTCATCCTGATCAAATTCTAGTTATCTATGTGACTATGTATGTAGTATGTACTATGTACCTATCTATATAATTTATTTAAATGGACAAAAAAAAAATGTTGAAAAATAATAAATAATAATTTTTTTCATAATATTTTTTAATTATTTTTTTTGATACATCTAATTTTTTGTTTATTTTTAAAATGCTTTAACTAAGTATAAAAAAGTCCAAAAGGATTGGGACATTTATTCTTTTTTTTTCAAAATATATAAGCTGTTTTGTTTGATTAAGACAGACGATAACGTTTCAAGTTCTAATGAAGTTTATTTAAAAAATAAACTATTTTATTATTTTATGTTTTTTTTTAATATGTTTTAAATTATGTATTTCTTTTCTTTTACCTGTATCACTGAATAATGAATATTTTCAAAATTAAACATGAAATTATCTAATAATCTATATGTATAAAAAATAAAAATGTATTCATTTTTATTTTTTATCTTTATCTAGATACATTTTAATATGACTATATGTATAAGTATACTATATAGTATATACTATATATGTATACATATAAGTTATAAGTATATTATAGTAAATTGTATCTTTCTCTTTATATAGATAAATTAATAAAATTATCTATTTCGAACATTGCTGAGTTCTGTCAAACCAAAATAAGTAATAACTAATAACCAATTTAATACTATTCAAATTTTTAATTTTAATATAATTGAAGTGTTATCGGTTATAACGTTTTAGTTTAGATTTTAGAATATAGTATTATAGTATTATATTATACATTTATTCTCATCTCTTTTGTGTAGAGTAAAAATTGTTAGGTATGTACCAATTGTCTTAAAAATTAAAAAATTTAATAAAATGATTTCAGATTTGTATACCTTACAAATTATGCAAATTTAAAAATGAAATATTATTCATAACTCTTATTCTGTAATTTATATTATATAATACCAAACATAAATTCAACTTTCACAGTGTTTAATTAATAATAAATAATAAGATATTAAATGCTAAATTGTTAAACAAGTAATTATAAAATAAAAGTAAATTAATAATTAATAATTATTAAACAATATTATAAATTATTGTGTAAAAATACAAGATATTCCACTAAAAATGGAGACAGTCGTGTTCTTCTTGAGGATACTGTTAAACCACTTCCAGAAAACAATCTTTCACTACAAACCGATGTACCTGGTATACCCAAAAATTTGAAAATCACTGGTAGCAAGTGAGGAAATGTTTGATAATTTTCTTCCCACCACTTTAATGGATCTGCTGTTGGTTCAATGTTCTTTAGCTTTAAGTAATTTTCTATCTAACAAATTAAAAAAATAGTAAAAATATTAGATTAAGAACTAACAACAATTAATAAACAATAATAATTATTTATCAATTTTGTTTTAATATATTATATTATAATTATACTATTATTAACAGAAAATTAAATATCATACTTCAATTGTTACTTCATTTATTGAAGTTACTGTAGTAGATTCTTTTGATACTGAACGCTGATGAAGTATGTCCCAAAGTGAATAGTTAGCATTTTCAACTTCTTTAGTTAACTCATCTGAAGTGCTCGGTTGTGATAATATCTCATCATTGTATCTATATTTTTCTGCTTCTGATGTAATGTATGACTTTGCTTGTAATAACTCATACTCATTTAACATAATTCCTTTAAATCTTGGATCTACCAACATAGCTATAATGTAGATTTTATTTTCTTTATATACATCAAATCGTTTAGACATGGATCTTAATAAATTTTCTGCGAAGCATGTTCCAGGATTTTGTATCGTACTTGTCAAAAATAAATTTAATTTAGCCTCAATTGTATAAATGATTGGTAGTACCATAGATAATGTAGGTGTATCTTCTCGACTGAGTTCTTTCGTTGCTTCAAATACTGGCTTGAGAAGAATAACATAACCTTCAATCATATTCCAATCTCTAGCAAACAATAACTGTCCTTTTTTAATTTTAGGTAAGTCAATTAAAATGGCATCTTTCTGCTCTAACATTCTTTGCAGCATCAAATATATACTATTCCATCGAGTGTTGACCATTTGAATAAGTTTATGTGGTGCTAAATTTAACCTTTTTTGTGTATCTCCTAATCGTTCAGATGCGATATTGCTATGATTGTAATGCGTTACAATTGCTTTACATCGTTTCAACAGGTCAGTCATGTTACTTTCTTTTACAGCATCATCAATTGCCAACTGAAGAGTATGTGCTGTACATAAAATGTGTTCAAAGTTACTTCCATTGTGACCAAGGGCACTGGATATATTTCTAGCATTATCAGTAACAAAAAAAATGGATATATTTGAGTCACTATTTTCAATTTCAATATTCCATTCTGCAACCATATTTTTAATTTTATTATATATGGCATTACCTGTATGCTCTCCTGGAAAGTAGGAACAACCAAGAGTTTTATTTTTGAGTTTAAATTTGTTCGTTAGGTAATGGCAAGTTAGAGAAATGTAAGACTGTTGTGCTTGACTTGACCAAAGGTCAAATGTAAAAGAAATTGATTTTATATTTTCTAAATCCATTTTAATTTCAGTCATTAACAAATTTTTTTTGTTCGCATACAACTCTGGTATTAGTTTTTTAGATAGTAACTTACGACTTGGTAAAACATATCTATCCTCAGCAGCAGCTATCACCCTCTTAAATCCATAATCTTCAACAATTGAAATAGGTTGGTAATCCAAAGCAATCATTTCCACAATTCTTTCTGTAATCAACTTTGCTTTTTTATTACTAGCTGAAAATTTTTCAGATTTGGACATTGACTTCATTATATCTTCTTGTTGGGATGTATCTATATTCTTTCTTTTTTTGTTATTTATTTCATTAGTATGTAATTCATTCTGATAAACTTGAAATTTTGTGGGATGTTGAGTTTTTAAATGCCTTGTCATTGTAGTTGTAGTTGAGTTTGGTGTTTTTAAAGTTTTGTTACAAAAATTACATTTGGATTGATCTTCAGATATTTTTTTAAAATAAGTGTAAATTTGTCTTTTTTTTTCAATATTTTGTTCAGATTGCTGTTCAGATATTTCCCTTGGTTCATCTTCATCTTCCACAATACTGTTTAATTCAGAATTATTTGTCTGAATATATTTCAACATTGACCCACTTGCCATTCTAATACATAAAGCAAATATATAAGTAATTGGTAATTACTAATTAATAAATAATAGGTACAAAACAAACTACAAACACTCCCAGCAAGAAAATTGACTAGGTAACTGCAGCGTTAGGAACATCCAAACCAGTTAATAATATTATATAAGAAATAAGATAAAAATTATAATAAATTTCTAATTAAAAATTAGAGATACAAATTTAAATTTGAAAGCAACGATATAAATCATTGAATTCAAAAAAATTGTGAGTGAAGTTAATTTAATATTGAACAAAGTTTTTTCAAAATATTATCCCAGTCCCCAGATGTATATTTATTATTTATACATGTATTATAATGATTAATTATTGTGTATTTGTATAATTATAATAACTTAAAAAAGCAAACACACAAAAAAAATTATTAATTAATAAAACCATAACAATAAAAATGTAACTATTAATTAATTAATAATAATAATAATTCATACAAAATAGTAAAATATAAATCATAATTAGTAATTACCGAACCAAAATCTTTTTAGCATACTTATTTTATTGTTTTTTTTCTAATACTAAATAGTAAATATAGTAAATACTAAATAGTAAATACCTAGTGAATATTAAATAAGTATGTAATAAAGATTTTGGCAAAACAAATAAAAAATAAGTTATATTTTATGTAAAATATAATAATACTAACTAAAAATGTACCTATTATTTAATAATTATTGACAACTTACTTGAATAAATAATGATCAGATAATGTATCAGATAGTATTAACTATTAGAGTATTAACTATTAACACTATTAACTATTAACACTATTGACTATTAACACTATTAACTATAAAGTATTAAGATTTAAGACCTAATAAAGTAATAAATAATAATAAAAATAAATAAACATTAAACGTAAGTCGTATGTCGTACAACTCGTAAACTGTCAAGTCACCAGTAACCACTAATCAACAACACTGATAACTATTATTTGGAATTAACGATTAATAAGTAAGTAGT